TCCTCAACTGGCCATGCTCTAAACCCACCAAGCACAGCTAACCGCACAACTAACCCTAAGCTAACCGGTAACCCTAAGCTAACCGAGAGCTTAAGCTAACCTGGCAACTAACCCGTAGGTTAGCTTAGCGTTTCGGCTTAATAATAGGCGCACGAGACTATTTGCTAAGCGAAGGCCTCGCGGCCGCCTAATAAGCTAACCGGAGCCTTAGGGTAAGCCGAGCCCAAACCCTGGCAGCCGCTCCTTCAGCGTCTTCTCGAACCAGCGGCACGCGACCTCGAAGGCTTGGAAGCTCGACGGGTTGCCGTCCCAGCCAGGAACATCGACAAAGCCTCCCCCGGACGCCATCACGGAGAAAGCCGCTCCAGCCTCTCCTTCTCAAACTCACCAAAGAACAGCTCGTCACGTCTCTCTCTTCTCACAAAGCGGTGCAGCCCCGGATCACCAGGCCGCTCCGCTAAAATGAAGGTAGCACAAAGCCACGGTAAAAGCAAGGCACACAAGCCTCAAAAGCTCAATCAGCCGTTTTGGTCTGCGCTCGAGCAACCACTCCCTGCGGTCAGTTCACACGTTCAGTCCTGCATGCTATACATGTCTAGGGAAGTCACAGCAGGGCAGGGGACTAGCAAATTCGACATACAAGTACAATGCACGAGAGAAGGCTGATACGAACCCATTGTAAGGATGAGCTATATGTTGCATCTTACAGACTGCTTATTTTCTCATAAAACGGACAAGCTACTGCTGGCGTCTGTATAATGATACAAGAATCAAAAGTTTCGTCACTCAGTCTATACTATAGAAACAGTGTCAAGCCTAAGAAGCGACACTGTATGTATGTTGTCCCACAGGGGAAACATTGTACAACGTTGCTAAGCGTGTTGCATGCGAGTTTATAGATTTAGTATGGGGCTGTGCTTGTACAGCATTAAGGAATGCAACTCCCAAATGCCCGCATTTGCCTGATATACCAGCGTTCAAGAGCAGTCGCATACGGACACAGGGATATGTTATTGAGAGCTGCATGTAGCCAAAACACCATAGCAATGCTTAGAAAAACGGATACTCCAACATGATTCAAGCATTACAAATGTTGAAACTCTTAATTGAAAAACCTCGTTTGCCCGCGGGGCATGTCTGAATCAGACTGTAGACTAAAGCCGCATTTGCTAGTAAACTGGAACTTCAAGAATTTAGCGTTTGGAGTTTAGAAAGCAGTCGCACAGGCTTGATCTACGAAAATGTACCGACGGCTGCAAGGTATGGATTTTAGCACATTGTAACTCTGGTTTCGACGAGAGTTTTCTGTAGAATTCATGACGTTGTACTAGTTTGACCTGGTCAGCATTCTGAATGGATGGATATGTACCGGAACGAGCAGTGTGGGAAACATCCATAAACATACATACTGAGGTAGATGCTGTACTGCGTATTTTAAGTTGCTTTCGACTTGGACACAAAACCATATGAATTCACGGTGGTTAATATTCTCTGGTCCAGATTCGAGGATATCAAGGGTTTATAAACCGTGCCTGGGCTTGTAAAATGTCGGTGGGTTTCAAAACACAACCAGTTGCTGGTTCCACAATAGTACTGCAGTGCAGAAGTGCCGGGGGGGGATACTACGCAGCCCATATATATATATATATGCATGCTCATGCCTTCCCCTGCCCCCCCCTCCCCCCCCGGATCCACCCGAGCATGCTTTTGATAAGCAGTGGATCGCGCGAGGTGGGCAATCTCAGATGCGAAACAAACTGGCAGGGATCAAACTTCACCAAAGTTCTTGAGGCCTGAAATGCAAAACGCCGGCAGGGATCAAATTTCCACAAAATCCAAATTCTGAGCAAATATCTGCCCCCGCACTCCCCCTAGATGCCAGGATGTTTAGGAATGGTTAGGAAATTTGATCCCTGCCAATGTCTTCGCACGGAAGGCTTCAGAAATTTCGAGGAAATTTGAGCCTGGCAGCAGTATGGCAACCTCCAACGCAAAAACACGCGGCGGTACCGGTACCACTGCTTCGAGTACTTGTTCTTGCTGTATAGGTGTGGCGAAATAAATACATCGAAAGAACCTTGCTCGTAGATAAAGGAGCTCACACTTTCTGCACTTTCACAGTCACGCTACGTATTGTATTTTGGAATATCAACTGAAGGAGCTTCTGATTTCTACTTATGCATCTGACAGGAGAGAGGAACAACGGACCACGTGTGGTAGGCGGTTGTAGGTAGAGATCCGTCGCCTCAGGTTCCGGCCTGCACTGCAGGGCAAAGGCCAAAACAGGAAGGCCTTTACGAACCATATATACATATACATATATATATATACATAGAACCAATAACCTGCAGAACCGTACCAGGGAAAGAATACCTGGATAAGAAATGAAAGGAAAATATAGAATATCAGATAATCACACTAATCACACCACACCATATACCGTTTCATGTTGCGGCTTGTAGCGATGAGTTCTGGGCGTCTTTCCGCCTCTCGCAGTCGAGGCCAGCTCCCCTGGAAGCTCCGCAGCGCCGCAGCACCCACCTCGAGATCGGCGACGCACTGCGCTCGAGCTCGAGACGCGCTCGAGACGCGCTCTCGCTTCACCCTTTCGCCTTCTCCGCTCCGCTCTCCTAGTGCAGGGGGAACCCCCGTATGTACACCGCGCGCTGGTGCGCCCCCGACAGTTGCGGGTGCCAAGAGCTTGCATTATTAACATCAGGACAGGGTAAATAACTCAAACAGCGTACCAGGCGTACCATGTGTCCGCCTACTGTAAGCACTGGGTTTCCACAGGTTGTCAAGCCGCTTTCGTGCTGAAGCAGCCAGAACTAAAAGATTCACTTGGAGTGTAGCACAGACTTGCGGGCATGTTAAGTACAGCAAAGAGCAGCGTCCAACAGCTGAGAAAAAGACGCAGCAGCAGGATTAATATAGTACAGAACGGAAAAGTATGTACCCAGACCCAGAGAGGGGGCGAGCATAGCAGCATACGAGGTATTTGGAGGCTCCAGCGGCCCGTCTTGAAAAAGCGGAAAAGGTGGATCCTATCGCTCTTTCTCCGATCCTTGCTCGCTTTGCTCTCTGCTCTCGGCACCTCCGCATCGTAGTGGGCCCAGGCGGGGCCAGAGGCGCAGTACTCCAGCGCGTAGTCGCTCCGGTCCTCTCTTACGTCGCACGGCCGCAGCAGCCGGTCGCTTCTTCGCACTCAGATCACGGCCTCAATGCTCAGGAAGATGCCGCGGAGGCCGGGGGTCAGGAAGCTGGAAGCCTGAAACACGGCGCCAGCGGTGGAGCACACAGGGAGAGTGCTCCCCTGGCACTGGGCCTCGCAGCTGAGGATGGCGGGATCCACCTTGCAAAGGCGCAACAAATTGGGGGGGGGTCTCCACGGAGTTTCAAGGTGCCGGTCACGCCTCTTGCGGGGCTCCAGGAGCATTCTCGCCTCCGGGCGTCTCCACCTACAGCGCACTTCGAAGTCACTTCACACTGCACTTCAGAGCCGCAGGCAGAGCCGGCAGAGGCAGGGCCTGCACCGTCAGTGCCGGACCCAGCAAGGGTCCCAGAGCCTCGGACATCCTCCGGCCCTGAGCGCGAGGTGCCCACAATTTGAGAATCACCCATGCAGGTTGACATGGAGTGCCTCGGTCTGGCTGTGCGGGTAGAGGCCTAGGCTGTCTTGCGATCAGAGTCCGGCTGTGCCCAAACTGCTGGCCCCTACGAGTACCTGCTCCAGCGGGGTAGCGTGCAGCCACCTTGGAAACTTGCGCGGGCCCACGTCCGTGCCCCTCCGGGACGTTCGCTCTTATGCAAGGTCTCAGCATCTCTCAGCTTCTCACGGACAGGCCGTAGCTTGTCCACGGCAGCAATCCAGTGACTTCCACCTGAACGCTCTTCCCTGCTCTCTCCTCAGAGCCTCAGCCTCCCTCTCTCCGCGAGATTCGGGCGAGCACCTGCAGAAGGTCTTTCTCATCTTCGGCTTCAGCCAAGCGGATGTCCTCGCCGGATATCTGCTTCAGACGGGCTCTGCGAAGGCTCTCTGCGGAAGGCAGCTGCTCTGCCTGGAAGCAGGAGGCCAGGCGCGCCAGGGACATCTCCGGCTGGTCCAGGAGCCGCTGGAACTGCCGACGCAGACACCGCAGCCGCTCCGAGCCACCGAGCCACTCTCTCTCTCTCTTAAGCAACACAAGCGATCTATTTTCTGGCGCGCTGGCGCGCGAGGTGCGCAGGCAGCGGCCCGCTTCAACTGCCAGGCTGCAGGGCCTGCGCCGAGGCCAGGACCTGCGCATCCAGGCGCCGAGGCCTCGCGGATCCAAGGGAAAAACAGGCTTTGAAACTTTGAAACCGCCGTCTCGGATTCGTCTTCGTCGGGGCGGGGGCTTGTGCAAGAAACAGACCGACTCCACCCTGGAGCTCGAGCTGGCGGAGGCGGAGGCGGAGGCCTCGCAGGAACTGTGCGTACATACAGCCGCACAGCTGACAGCATGTGCATGTGCGGATGTGGCCGTTGGGGCCCTTAAAAGACCCGTATAGAGCGAGTCGTGCCGCAGGCCTCTGCGAGTGGCTCGCAGCGGACAGCGTACTCGAGGCCTCCCCGCGGGGGGGGGGGGGGGGGGCTTTCGGCTTGCTTGCGGAAGTCTGGGGGCGTCCGTCACAGACGTCTCTGCCGTCCCAGCCGTCTGTCTGCTGCCGTCCCTGCTGCCGGTGTCTCTCTGAGGCTCCAGGCAGCTGATGCCCGGCAGCCGGTCGAAGGGAGGCCAGCCTCAGAGGGCGTTGAAGTGCCCTCTCACCCCGCAAGTTCCTCCGGTTCTGGTAACTCTCTCTTTCTTTCGCGCTCCGGGCAAGCCGAAGCCCAAGCCGAAGCCCAAGCTCAAGCTCAAGCTCTCGCACAGAGCCGGGCTCCGAGCTTACTCGCACGGAGGTTGGCCCAGTGGCTTCGGCGCCCACCTTCCCGCTCCTTGCGCAGCACGCGGCCGCGCGTGCCCCATAGGCCCCATGGCCCCTCAAACAAGCCGGGGCAAAAAAAAGGCCGTATATACGGAGCCCTGGACCACGGCGGGCCCGGCCCCTTTTTGTACACACAGCGCTCTTACTTAAGTCGTCATTGTGGTCGATATCTGCGGTTGAGCTGAGGTCTGATTGGACGTTCCGCTTCAGGCGCTCTGCATTTCGTTCACCGTCCTCGGCGGCCGCGGCAACGGCAGAGGCAGGGCCTGCGGAGGACTCCAAGGGCTCCAAGGGGACCTCACGACAGAAGTGAAAAGTGATGTGAAAAGTGACGGCAGGCAGATGCGGGCGCAGGACGGCTCCGAGGCCGAGAAGGCCGTCGTCCGTGCACGAGGGCACTGACGCGATGCACTGCACGCGTACGCGTGGTGTGCGCTGCTGAGGCCGTGGCCAGCGGTGCTCCGTGCCCACGCGCAGAGAGGCCTACAGAGATCTCAAGCCCAGACAAAGGCCGTCTCAGATAGCGTCCCTCTCTCTACATAAATATATATATATATAATATAATAATATATATAAATATATATATATATATTATATATATACACATATATATACATATACATATGTATAATATGTATATATATATATATATATATATGTATGTATGTATGTGTGTATGTATGTATGTATGTATATCCGCCGACCCCGCTGTTGGGTCGAGCGCCGGGGAAGCCCTTTCATCAAGTAGCCCCGGAACCCTCTTAAGCTCTGCACCTCAAAACCCTGTCCATCTTAGGCAGGGGAACACTGCTAAACATATCACAGCCGGAGACTGGCTGGTAAGCATGCCAGGCAGAGCGAAACACTGCTCCACCCTGTCCAGGAACCCCAACCAAAAACTTCCGCGTTTCTGTTTTGGGCAGTTCACCAAAACCTCCGCGCTTGACCACCCTCCCACTCCACCCAGCCCCACTCCCGCCCCCCTTCCCGGCTCCCCCCCTTCCTGCTCCACCCTGTCCAGGAACCCCAACCAAAAACTTCCAGTTTTTTTGTCCCTCCCACTCCACCCA